ATTTTGTATTGTAATATTATTACGAGATTTGTTTATCATTATGTGTTCTACTGAAAAATCCAGGTTATAACGTTGTAAACTGAAATTACCGCTTTAAATTACAAAAACAAGACTATTGACACACATTGTAACTCATTAAGTTCTCAAGTAGAGACTATGAGTATTAGGCTAGGAGAGGAGGAGCAGTTCCAACTTATCTTAAAAAGATAACTTAAAACAGCACATTGTAAATTTGCATCTGCTCGTAGGTGTAATTCAAAATTGCTTAAAATAAATAAAATTAAAAAAAAAAGCGCGAAAGTTAATAATATAAACCAGAACAGTTGTCAAATTTGCAAATGTTTGGTTCGTGGTAAGGATTTAAATGTTGTGGATTCATATTTAGACTATGATAAAATTGGTTTTTCTGAATTGTTTGTAATGTGAAACATCAAAGTATTTGATTGCCATTCTTATTTTTAGAAATTGATTCAAATATGCTTCAACAGTTACATAAGCATTACCATTTCAGTCATATAAAGAATACGGACAATGTAGAATATGTACAAAGAGTGCTTTTACTTCCTCAAAAACAAATAATTGGACCAACTCACAACTAAAACAGTTTCTAGTTCATGAGAATTGAGAAAATAAATGACTCTAATAAGCCTCTTCAGTTACATAAGCATTACAGTTTGTTTCAGTCTGATCGTAAAGACAATTTTTACGACAAACTACTAACAAAAACCAACATAAATTGTTAAATGGGGCATCATTTGTAAAACTTAACTCCAAAAGAAGCATGAATGGCCAACATTTAACATTATAAGTCAGCAAGATTATGAAGAGAATTTTTGCTATGGAATGGAATAGAAATAAAACTAATATCAATTGCACATACAAAGATCGTTTACTACTTCTAGAACATTTATCCGTTTATTAACTTATAAGACAATCCAAAAAACCCAGTTATCAGTTTATTAAAATTGACTATATTGTTATGTATTTAAATAAAAAATGTCTTATTTTTTTACAGAAAAGTATTAATACTAATGGGG